TTGTCAGAGTACATAACTTGCTATGATCTTCAGCTACAGCACTTAATATTAGTAACACTGGATCTCCTACCAGTGAACAGCCGCAACTCTTCACTTTTGTTAATGTATCCTTAGATATCAATCCCTCTGTATGTAAGAGACCAACTGATTCCTCAGTAAGAACAGCTTGAGCTAGTCTACCAATATAACACTGCAATATCTCACTAACAGGATCTGCCACTAAATAAAAGATATAAATTCTAAAAAATGATATTTTTACTATTACTTGTTTTACGAATATCATTAGAAATGGATATTAGATTCATTTCATTGAGTGCATTAGCCAAAGTCTGCCATACAAGAGTATGATCAGAGCCTTCAGTCAACCACTTGGCTAAACACTCCATCAGGCAATTTGAAGGATCTCCTTTATTAGCTGACTCAATAGCTTTCAGTGTGTGATAAGGTATATCTAGATTCAATCCAAAGTCAAGCCATCTTGCTTCAGGAAACTTGTAATATCTCAAGACTTTTAAAACAAACTTTAACTTGCTAATATCTGTATGCAAAATTTGTATATCAGTGTATTATAAATAATCTGACTCACCTAATGGGAAATGTGATGGTTTTGAAGCCATTTGAAACTAGTTTAAGTATTGTATACAAGATATAAAAGGAGAGGTAAAGGCGGTGAAGCACAAGAAGAAGCTGCAAAATCACGCAATCACAGATCAGCAAATTCCAAAACAAGGCGTGGCTCGTTGAGCCACGCCTAGAGTAGCCATTGATCACTGCACTAGCTGAGGTAAAAAAAAGTTACTGCATGGTATGAATGCACCTTTCCAAAATCAATGATAAGTGCCAATACATTTGCATTTTAATTCTTAATAAAATATTAAAATACATATAATTTCTAATTTCTATCACAAAGTTAATTTTACAACTCATCCTCTTCTATCAAAAAATTCTCCAGCTATAGATCTACTTCTCTTTGTTCTTCTCCACTGTCTCTTTCTCTTTCATTTCCTGCTCCTTCATTTGCTCCAGCTCTTCCTCTTTCTCTTCCTCCTCCTTCTTTCTCATTCCTCATGCTTCTAACAATAGACAACGATTGATCCATGCACTGAACTCTGCAATCCCTTCACTTCCTCAGATAATGGTTTGATCTGATACTTTAC